AAGACAAACTACCGAAAGAAAAACCAAGCCATAATATATAGATATATAGATATATATATATATATAGATATATATATCTATATATATATAGATATATATATAGTATGTCAAAATACTTTACGATCCTGCCTCGGTGACGTCTTGAGGCGCTGAGATGGTCTTGCTAGCCACGCGCTAGGATAACGACTGCTGCTTTTTAAGCTAATCTCATACAGTTTTAATTAGTAACCTTTTCATTATGTCTGTTTGCCCTCCACTAATGATTTGTGCCTCCCATCACTTTTTATTATTGATATATATATAGATATATATATAGTATGTCAAAATACTTTACGATCCTGCCTCGGTGACGTCTTGAGGCGCTGAGATGGTCTTGCTAGCCACGCGCTAGGATAACGACTGCTGCTTTTTAAGCTAATCTCATACAGTTTTAATTAGTAACCTTTTCATTATGTCTGTTTGCCCTCCACTAATGATTTGTGCCTCCCATCACTTTTTATTATTGTTGTTATTAGAAATATTATTCTCATTTTACGAGCTGAGCCTTTGTGTGCATCTCCTGATGGCGATGATGTGATTATGCAAAGCACTTTCAGCTTGTTTGTAATTGGACGTAATGTTCAATCTTTGGATGAATGGACATTTTAAAGACACTCATAAATTGTACGTTTCTTTTTTTTTTCAAGGCATGACAAGAGGTATCATTTCATTGTCTTTCTATCTTATCATATTGCCCCAGAAAATTACTTTTCAACCGTGTGTGTGTGTGCGTCACTTGTTTCATTGAAACCCCGACAACTGAAAGGGTTTGAGGCACAAAAGTAAATTAGCATTTTGATTCAAAAACAAATGAGTCTATGCTTACCTGCTCTCCAATGTACTCTGTTGTCGTCATAGTTTCTTTCGGGGAGCTTCAGATCCAATCTGGTCAAAGTTTGGAGCGAAAGGTACGAAAAGAAGCAAGAGTAACGTTTATGTTGAATATCAATGGCAGCTGACATGAGCCCAAGCTCTAGGGTGCGCACACACACACACACACACACACACACACACACACACACACACACACACACACACACACACACACACACACACGCACACACAAATACAGGCAGACATTTTTTTGTGGCCCAGTAAAGCAAATGAAGTAGTTTTACATTTTCCGTGACTTCCAGCACACAAAAATCTCCAGCCTGCACGACGAACTCGATCTTTACGAAACGGCAGGATCCACGTCAGCCGGACTTTCTCCGCAGTCATTACTGTAAAGTTAATTAAGACTCCAGCAGTGGGAAAAGGTGAACACCCCCGCCATACCCCCACGGGGACCGAGCAGACTGCGGGGGGCGACTGCCCGCACAATGTCACATCCATCATGCGTCCAATCAAAATCAAATGAAGCCTGAGGGGCGCAATGTGCCACCGAGGCCGCCGAAGCAGTGGACCTGAAAGCTCGGAGGTCGCACGCACACACACACACACATATGTGCTCATGAACGCGCACACACACACACACACACACACACACACACACACACACACACACACACACACACACACACACACACTTTCTCTTTGACAAACGCTCACTCACACGTTTTCACACAGCTCCTTCAGACACACACTGTCTCACACAAATCTCTCGCCCATTGTCTCACACAAACTCTCGCTCACTCACACATGCAAAAACTTTCTTTTACAACTCTCTCAAACACATGCTCTCTCACACACACAGTCTGCCACGCAAACTTTTTCCTCTGTCACTAAAACGCTCTCTCACCCACTTTCTCTCAAAAATACCCTCTTCACAAACTAACACACACTTCGTCACAACTCCCTCAAACGTGCTGTCTTTTACACTCTCACACAAACTGTATCTCACCCTCCCTCTCTCTCTCTCTCTCTCTCGCTCTCTCTCTCTCTCTCTCTCTCTCTCTCTGAGCCATCACATACTCTCTCACTGATTCACTCACACAAACCTTCATCTCACACACTCTGTTTCTCCCTCTCTCACACTCTCACTCAAGCCCCCGCGCACACCCACTTTTCTCATACAAACTCTCACATTCAAGCTGTCTCTCACACACACACACACACCCTCTCTCTTGCATGTAAACTGACGCTGAAGTGATCTCTCTCTCTCTCTCTCTCTCTCTCTCGCTCTCTCTCTCTCTCTCTCTCTCTCTCGCTCTCTCTCTCTCTCTCTCTCTCTCTCGCTCTCTCTCTCTCTCTCTCTCTCTCTCGCTCGCTCTCTCTCTCTCTCACACACACTCACAGTATACTCTCTCACTGTCGCGCACACTTTTTGTCCACCTATTGTGCCAAAGAATTTTTGACGCGGATGGTAGCCATCCAATTAAAACATGAAATCTGAGAAAAATATAGGTGGGCATGGCGGAAAAAAAATTGTGAAGATTAAGTTTGGCAAAAGTAATTTTTTTTTTCAGTGTATGGCAATGTACAGTGGCATGCTACTAAAACACTCATTGCATTTCCATACGCTTCAAAAGCAAACGAGTGATTTGAGTGACCAGCATGGTCACAAACCAAACTTTAGTCAATCTACCACATCAATTTGCTAATTAGGTCGGTAAAGCAAAACAAATTGATGGATGGGTCCATTTTCATTCTGTGTCAGACTGGAACATTTACTCCATATCGATTCAAATGACAGGAAAAAAAGAAAATGACACTGACACTTAATGGCTTCTTCCTTAGCTCATGCATGTTAAGTTAATGAGCTCGTAGCGGACCTCATTATACTGTGACTATTTGAGTGTAGAGTAAGAACACGTGCATCCGCCAGTGTCGGCTGTCAATGGGAGACAGTTGCATTGCCATTCATCCACTGTTACATATGTTCATTATTCACTCCACGGAGAAGGACGAGGAGCATGTTTGGCAGTTTCTATCTCCCGGGATCAGGTGGGTCCTTTTGAAAACAATTTGCACCAACCGCAAACACAGTCGAATCCTTCAAGCTAACAGTGCAGAAACAAGTTGAAGGCGAGGAACCAACCCCGCCACCCCCCAAAAAAAAAATCCCATCAGCAGTACCAACATCTAAACATCGTAGCGTCAAGGTTTCATTTGTGATTATTGATTGTGTTGGTAATTGACTGAAGGACCTTTTGGTAACAGAAAATATGAGGTCACCGCAACAGGCGACGTAAGGCGTGAGCGGGTTTGCAAATAGCTTAGCAACATGGTCTACTTTTACATTACCTGAATTACAGCAAACGTTCACTCCTGCTTTACTCTGAGATGGCGTTGGGGAAAACGACATACACGGAAGCCCCTTCGATCGCGATAATATTACACAAGTACAAGTCAAAATATTATGAGAATAAAGTCGGAATATTACATGAACTCATTCACTGCTGGCTATTTCGAAGCAGATTATTACGTTCTGTGACAAACTAAGCACAGCCTATCAAAACAGACCAGCATGAGGGCTGGTTTGGGGCCGTTGGTTCATCCGTTGTAGAGTAAAACACAGACAGAAGGAATGATTTAAATCTCCTGGTCCATTTCGGGAAACAGTTTCATGTCGGGACGAACTTGCCAGGTTTGTAGCAGTTGTGAATTTAAGAGCGCAATGTAAATAGTTCCAAATGGTTTAGCATAATGCAAACTGAATAGGAAATAATAAAAAAAGGGTGGAATGGTGTAAATAAATAAAGTTAGCGTCGCTTGTGTAACAGGCTGCTGAGTCACGGGGCCTCGTTTGCTTTGAACTTTTTAAAACCAATTTAAACTTCTTTAAAAAGACTCTCTTAAAAAGCCTTTAAAGCAGATTTTAGCAGTTTGCTTACTTTAAAACAAGAGAACTCAACATCGTAGCCGATATTTAAACACCGACATGTTCAACAAACCATATCACTTTGGCTAACATGTCTGCTAGCTTAATGCTAACGCAAATTAGCATTGCTGCGAATGTCAAAAACCTTCAAATAAGTTTTTTTTTTTTTTTTTTTTTTTTTTTAACCACCCGGA